TGGCATTATAGCTCACAGCAACCTCAAATTCCTGGGCTCAAGTGATTCTCAAGTGATTCTCCCAAGTAGCTAGGACGATAGGTGTCTTCTACAATGCCTGGCTAGTTTTTCTATTTTGAGTAGAAGCAGAGTCTTGCTCTTGCTCAGGCTGGTCTTGAACTTCTGAGCTCAAGCTATCTACCCACCTCAAGAGTGCTAGGATTACAGAAGGGAGCCACCATGCCCAGCCAACAAACACACTAAAATCATACTATCCAGAAATGAGAGACTATCACGTGGGCAAGGGAGGTATGGTGGACAAGGGACCTGTAATGGTAGAAGCAGAACTGGGTCAGTTATAAAGTCCCCAGTTGAATTCCTGTTCAGCTCCCATGGACCCAGCTAGCCCTCCTTTTTTTTTTTGAGACAGATTCTTACTTTGTCACCTTTGGTAGAGTGCAATGACATCATAGCTCACAGCAATTGCAAACTCTTAGGCACAAGTGATTCTCTTGCCTCAGCCTCCCAAGTAGCTGGGACTACAGGCACCCGCTACAATGCCTGGCTATTTTTCTGTTGCAGTTGTCATTGTTGCTTAGCTGGCCTGGGCTGGGTTCAAACACCCCAGCCTCGGTGTGGTGTATGTGGCTGACTCTGTAACCACCGTGCTACGGGTGCCGAGCCTGCCCTCCTTTTTTTCATAGGCCCACAAAGCTGCTTACCAGCTGCTTCTCCCACAAATCCCTGCCCAGAGCAACCTGTGTCTGTTAGATTAGCTCCTGGCGCTAAGCTGAGACAGGAATTTTCTGCTTCTGCCTTGTTCTCTTAAACCAATTACCATCAACCCTTACATATCTGGGATAGGGAACCTGCCCTGGATGGAGGCTGTGTCTTGGTAGTAGGGATGAGGGAATCTGGGGTGGGAGTTGGGAGGATCCTAGAGAAAGCGGACAACGAATCTCAAGGAATGGGTGGAGGTCTATTTGGGGAAATGGGGGCGGGTCCATCTGGGCATTGAGAGAAAGACTGTGGTGGGAAACAAGGGTTTGTTCTGGGAATTGTGAGGTCTCGATTAAGGAAAGAAGGTTCTTTCAAGCAATGGTTCTCAAAGTGGTCTCTGGACTAGCAGCATCAGGATCACTTGGGAGCTTATTAGATGTTCCAGAGATGTAAATTCTCTGGCTCCACCTCAGATACTGAATCAGAAATGCTGGGAGTGGAGCCCAGAAATCTGTGTTTTAACAAGCTCTCCAAATGAATCAAATGTGAGCTAAAGTTTGAGAACCACTGTTCTTGAGTAATGAGGTCTATTCTAGGAGTTAGAAGTGTGTGTGTTAGGCTGGTCGAGGTGGCTCACGCCTGTACTCTAGCACCCTGGGAGTCCAAGGCAGGTGGATTGCCTGAGCTCATAGATTTGAGACCAGCCTGAGAAAGTTCGAGACCCATGTCTGGTTTTTTTTTTTTAAGACGGAGTCTCAAGCTGTTGTCCTGGGTAGAGTGCTGTGGCATCACAGCTCACAGCAACCTCTAACTCTTGGGTTCAAGTGATCCTCTTGCCTTAGTTTTTCTTTTAGTAGAGACAGGGTCTTACTTTAGCTTAGGCTGCTCTCAAATTCGTGAGCTCAGGCAATCCACCTGCCTCAGCCTTCCAGAGTTCTAGGATTACAGTCTGTGACCGGCCAAGAGATCTCATCTTTAAAAAACAGCCAGGCGTTGTAGTGGGTGCCTGTAGTCCCAGCTACTTAGGAGACTGAGAAAAGAGAATCGCATGAGCCCAAGAGTTTGAGGGTGCTGTGAGCCACGATGCCATGGCACACTACCAAGGGTGAAAAAGTGAGACTCTGTTTCATGAAAAAAAGTTTGTGCCTAGGAATCAAAGGCTGTCTTCAGGGAATATATGGGGAGAGTGAGGAGTCTCTCCGGAATGGAGAGGGTCTAACCTAGTAGACCTCGAAAGGCTGGAATGATTCTATATCTTAGAATAAGAATGGTCTGTTTGGATGTGGGATGGGGGGAGATGGATCTGCTTTATAAAATGGGAAACTGGCTCATAGCTCAAGTGGCTAAGGTGCCAGCCAAATACACAAGAGCTGGCAGGTTCAAATCCAGCCCAATCTGCCGAACAACAATGACAACTACAACCAAAAAATAGCCAGGCGCTGTGGTGGGCACCCACAGTCCCAGCTACTTGAGAGGCTGAAGCAAGAGAATCACTTAAGCCCAGGAGTTGGAGGTTGCTAAGTTGCTGTGAGCTGTGGTGCCACAGCACTCTACCCAGGGCAACAGCTTGAGGATCTGTTTCAAAAAAAAAAAAAAGGGAAAGTGACAATATTAAAGAATGATAAGTTTGTTGTAGTAGATAACGCCATGATTTAGAATCACTAAGACCTGGATTTGAGCCTTCGTTTCCTTAACTGAAACATGGAAAGATAGGGCTGACTTCATAAATTTGTTGCAAGGGCAGGTCAATGTACATTTATTGGGTGCGTTTTCTGTGTAAAAATTCTAGGAATGTAGGGGAGAAAGAGACCTAGACCTTTATTCAGAGATCAACCAGCTCTCTAGGCTAGGTGCCTAGCACATAGCAGAAATTCAATAAATAGAGTTTCCCCCCTTTGCTAAGGAAATGGGAGATTCTACTGGGGGAAGGAAATGAGTATAAACCATAGTGGGACCTGGTGAGTAAGAATGTATGGTCTATTTTTTTTAATGCATGGTCTATTTTTTTTTTTTTTTGAGACAGAGCCTCAAGCTATTCTCCTGGGCAGAGTGCCATGGCACCTCATCTCACAGCAACCTCCAACTCCTGGGCTCAAGCGAGTCTCCTGCCTCAGCCTCCCAAGTAGCTGGGACCGCAGGCACCGCCACAACGCCTGGCTATTTTTTTTTTGGTTGCAGACGTCATCATTGTCGTTTGGCGGCCTGGGCTGGATTCAAACCCACCACCTTAGGTGTATGTGGCTGGCGCCTTAGCCACTTGAGCCACAGGCGCCAAGCCTGCGTGGTCTATTTTTGAGAATAACAAATCGTCATCTATTACTAAGCAGGTGGACACTTGAAACTCAGAAGAACCTTTGGGAAACAGGCAGCATTTTTAAGTTCCTCATTACACAGACAAGGCTCAGAGAAGTGGAGAAATTTGCTTAAGAGTACAGAAGTAGTAAGATAATGCCAAGGTTATAGTACAGATCTGATTCCAATCAGGACATGGAAGAAAATTTGCTCACAAAATGGAAACAGGGTGTCCTAGGGAACGACAGAACCTGTTCCAGGAAAGGGAAAGGTCTTTAGTAGATACATGGTTGCATGGCAGAGGTTCTAACCCAGGAAATGGAAAGTTCTTGTAAGACAGTGGCTCTCAACTTTGCCTGTCCAGTGGGATTATTGCAGAGCTTCTAAAAACACCAGTTCCTGGGTCCCACCCCTAGAGATTCAGAATGAATTGGTCTGGAGTGGTACCAGGACACCTTTTGATAGCTCCCAAGGGGAGGGTAACTCTCAGCTAAGGGCATGGTGGAAAGCTTATCCAAGACTTAGAAATACTGGTCTCAGAAGATGGGGAATGAGAGGGGATGTGTTCTGGAAAAGGGAGAAAAGTTTCCTGGGAATTGGAAAATTGTGTGCCAAGGATTGGAGTGAGATGGTGCTGAAAGATAGAGGGTGTAGGAATGGAGGGAGAGGATAGTCTCTTTGAGAGTAAGATTCTAAGAGGCCCAATTAGCAGGATGGGTAAAGCCAGGGTCTTTGGGGCTCAATCCCTGTTCTGCTAATAACTGGGCATGCCCCTGGGGCATATTACTTAAACTCCCTGTGCCTTGGTTTTCTGATCTCTATGGGGGCTGTAAAACCTGCCTCATAGGGACATTATGAAGATTAAATGAGATAATGCCTGGTACACAGTAGTTGCTCAACTACACAACTGTTGGGGGATGGGAAAGTCCACAGTAGTGCCTTAGAAGTTAACTTGGAGAATGGAGGGTCCTTCTGGAGAACAGGACAGTTGGTCCTGAGGAATCGTGGTGATGTGGGGCACTGGGTAGGGGGAAGATAGGAAAGGCTGCAAAAATCCAAAACTCATAAAGTCACAGTCATAGGGTGGGGCCTGGAGATGTCCTCCAGAGGCAGCCAGCTTACAGAGCTGTGGAGAGGGTGGGGAGGTTTGACTACTAGTAACCTCTCAGCTGCCACAGTAAGGAGAAGCCATGGGGTGGCAGCTGCACCAGCAGCCTCTACAGCTCCCCTCCCATCAGTCTCTGCTGTGTGTCAGTGGGAACTTAAAAGCTCAAGTCACGTGTCTTGTCTGGCTAACCTACTTACCCCTTGAAAATATCACATCTGGGGTGCACAGGGGCCAAAAGAAATTGCCCAAGAAAGAGGCAGAGCAGGAGAAAGACCCAAACATGCTCCTGGGAACCTACATTTGAAGGTTTGTAGGGAGAGAAGGCCCCCGTGTAGGAGATACCTGATGTGCCCTCGAGCACCGGTGCCTGGAAGGCCCGAGTTTGGCTGGCTGAATAAAGATTTCCACAGTCTGACCAGGCACTTTAACCTTGGAGCTGCCTGCAAGCTCTTCCAAAGATGCTTCCTCTGTTGCTTCTTAGCTCATGCCCTTTGTCTCTTCTTAAATAATGTCCTCACTTTTAGAGAGGGAACGTGTGAATGGGGAGGTGGAAGATGGTCTAATGTCCCAAGACTCTTGCTCCTCTGAAAGCCTTTGTACCTAGTTTGGAAATTTGTCTAGTAGGCCTGAGCTCAAGGGCTAGAACTGAGGGAAATTGTTGGGTGTGTGTGCACAGACAGAATGACAGCTTCGCAGTCCCTTGAGTGACGGAATCTGAGCCCCACTCCCCCCACCCATTGTCTGTCTTCCAGGGACCTGTCCCCGCTGAGTGACTCCAGCTCTCCTTTTTTCAGTTCATTCAAGTCAGCCCTTCTCGGCCACCCTGCAGTCCTGGGTCCTCAACTGCACGCCTTCTGGCCCCGCGCCGCGGGTGCTGCTCTGGTCTTTGCCATCCTCACCCCCCGCGGGCTTACGGGGCGGCGCGGGCCCTTTAAGAGCAGCGGGACCGGCGAGCAGTAGCTTGGAGCAGAGCGCAGTCGCCCGGCGGGCTCGGAGGACACCTCGCCGGGACCCGACTCAGAGATCCGGGTGTGCCCAGCCCAGCGAAGTCGAGAAGTGACCTCAACCGCCCCAGCCCAACCTTGTCATCCATCTCCTGTGACCTGAGGATCGGCTCCCCTCTGTCGCCGGTCCTGCCCGGGCCCCGCCCCGGCCCCGGCCACCGGGACCGGGAGCCGGGACGCCGGTGCCGCAGCCCGAGGCAGGTAAGGAGAGCCCTGACTCTCCATCCATCCTCGCCGGTGGCAACGCTAAGCATCTGGGCCCCGCGCCGGCCCGGCCCGGGGGCGCGTCAAGGTGACTAGGCATGCAGGAGATGGGGCGGAGGGTTGAGTCCGCCGTGGGGGCGCTCAGTTGACTGTGGGGGCTCGGAGTCCGGGTGGTGAGCCTCTCTTTGCGGAGCGCCCGGGGCACGCGGGTCCAGGGTGGGGGCGGGGGGGTGGCGAGCAGGAGAGGCCGGCCTGGGCGTCGCGCCCAGAGATGTGGAGGGGACGCGGCTGGAAGCCCAGAGCCTCTTCTTCTCCGCCTTCCCGGGCCCACCCTGCGCTAACCCTGCTATCCAGACCTCCTAGCTGGCAGCCTCTTTTCCCCCCCCCCCCCCCCGCCATCCTTCCAAGTCCCCAGAGGCTGTTAGCCTGTGGGGTAAGGAGATTAGAGGCGCCGCAGGGAGGAAGAAGCGGTGACCGCTTCAAGGGGCCAGTCTGGAGCGGGGCTGGGGCTGGGGCTGCCGGGACCGAGCAGAGGTCGGGACTGATCGTTGTTATGTTTGGGGGTGTGGGGCAGCAGATGCCAGTGCCGCTTGGGGAGTGGGGTGCTACCAGTCTCGGATCTGCTCAGAGAAGGAGGCAGGGAGCGGGGCAGGGCAGCACTGGGACACAGGAGAGCTTTGAACCGGGACTGGGGGGTCTGCCCCCAAACTGAGCAGGCCTTCTGCCGGCAGGCGGGCGGCGTGATGGCGGAGAAGGCGCTGGAGGCCGCGGGCTGTGGACTAGGGCCGGGGGCTGTAGCCATGGCCGTGGCTCTGGAAGACGGGGCGGAGCCCCCCGTGCTGACCACGCACCTAAAGAAGGTGGAGAACCACATCACTGAAGCCCAGCGCTTCTCCCACCTGCCTAAGCGCTCAGCTGTGGACATCGAGTTCGTGGAGCTGTCCTATTCTGTGCGGGAGGGGCCCTGCTGGCGCAAGAGGGGTAGGGAGCCGTGAGCCCCCTCTGAGTTGTCTCCAGGAGCAGGAGGCGTGGGTGTCCCCTGTTGAGCAAGTCCTGTACCAGTGGACGCTGTGGGAACACACACATCAGAACCCCTTTCTGGCTGTGCACACAGCTGAGGTGCCAGGATCGGTGCTCCCCACACCTGTGAGCACTGTGAGACACAGGTTCAATTGGTTATTGAAGCTTTCTCTTCTGAAGAGACCTATGGCCTTTGGTCCTTGAGTGGTCCTTGATGAGTTTTCCTACTTTATTTTTGTGGAGGATTCTTGCCTGTGAGGGCTGGTGTGAGAAAGTGGGGGCTGTGTCTGCAGCACTTAGCAATGCCCTTGGACCTGGTTTTAAAGATGTTCTCATTCCTGTCATCCTACTCCATTCTCACCACAGTCCTTCAAAGCAGGGAGGGTGTAGATGGGGCAGGATAGATGTCATTGCCATGTTACTAATAAGAAAACTGAAGCCTAGGGAAGTTGAGTAACTTGACCAATGTCACACAGCCAATAGGTAGCAGAGCTAGGACCAGAATTCTGGTTTCCCAGCTCCCCATGCATTATCCTTTTTTTTTCCCCTTAGCTTCCCTGGTACATCAGTCCCTTCTCCTCCCCCTTCCCTACTATCAAGACAGTTCCCCTGGACCCTGACCATCCTCTGTAGCCCCTATCCTGGATGCTGGCAATAGAGAAGCTGGGGTTATTTCTCAGAGCCTGGGTGTGGGCCAGGGGTGGGGCTAGGACATTGTTCTCTGAGGCTTAAGAAATAGGTTTGGGGTGCTTTAGAACAGAGCTGAACACAAGCTGTTTCTACACTCTCCACCCTCACTCCCATGAGTGACCAAAAGGTCATGGGGCTTGAACCAATGGCAACTGAGACATCTGGGGTCCCTGCCCCATGCCCTATCCCTAAGCAGCCTTTCTCAGTACAGAGATCAGCTCTGGGAAAATTGTTATATCCTTAGCCCTCTCATTTCTTCATAATTTTGAGAAGCAAGAAAGATACAAAAGAAAGGTGGGAAGGCTGGGCACAGTGGCTCACACCTATAACCCTAGCACTCACGGAGGCCAAGGCAGGATGATCCCTTGAGTTCAGGAGTTTGAGACCAGTCTGAGCAAGAGCAAGAACCCATCCCTATGGCGGTGCCCGTAGCTCAGTGGGTAGGGCGCTGGCCACATACACCGAGGCTGGCGGGTTCGAACCCAGCCCTGGCCAGCTAAACAACAATGACAACTGCAACAACAAAAAAAATAGCCGGGCATTGGTGGGTGTCTGTAGTCCCAGCTATCTGGGAGGCTGAGGCAAGAGAATCACTTAAGCCCAAGAGTTTGAAGTTGCTGTGAGCTGTGACACCACAGCGCTCTACCTAGTGAGACTCTGTCTCAAAAAAAAAAAATGACCCCATCTCTACTAAAAATAAAAAAATTAGGCAGGCATTGTGGTGGGCAGTATACTCCAAGCTAGTTGGGAGGCTAAGGCAGGAGGATTGCTTGAACCCAGGAGTTTGAGATTGCTGTGAGCTAGGCTGATGCCATCTAGCCTGGGCAACAGAGTGAGACTCTATCTCAAAAAAACAAACAAAAAGGGGCGGCACCTGTGGGTCAGTAAGTAGAGCACTGGCCCCATATACCAGAGGGTGGCAGGTTCAGGCCTGGCCCTGGCCAAACTGCAATAAAAAAAATAGCCAGGTGTTGTGGTGGGCGCCTGTGGTCCCAGCTACTCGGGAGACTGAGGCAAGAGAATTGCCTAGGTGCAGGAGTTGGAGGTTGCTGTGAGCTGTGTGACGCCATGGCACTCTACCAAGGGCAATAGAGTGAGACTCTATCTCTACAAACAACAACAACAAAAAGAAAGAAAAGAAAAGAAAAAGAAAGGTGGGTAGATGGGCCAGCTCTCTGGTCGCTTCAGTTTACCAGCCAGAGTCCTTGGCATCTCTGACTGGGTCCTTCCCCACCCCTTTATTTTTATTTATTTATTTTTTTGCAGTTTTTTGCCAGGGCTGGGTTTGAACCCGCCACCTCTGGCATATAGGGCTGGCGCCCTACTCCTTTGAGCTATAGGCACCGCTCGTCCTTCCCTTTTTTTGACCTTGCTGGCTCCATTCTTCTCTACTGGTCATTTTTACATCTCTTTTATCCTTTGCCTCTTTCTTTGCCTTCTCTTTTTCTTTAAATCCCTCTCCCCTCTCTAAATGACAGAAAGCAATTAGGGGTAGACTTCGAGGACAAAAGAACAAGGGGGATAGAGAGAGGGAGGGTTTTGTCATTTCCAAGGTAAGGATTTGTCATCAGCCTTCCCTAATTACATATGGTATTTCTTATTTTTCAACATATCTTCCAATTAATTATTATTAATGATCTCATTTCATATTCATAATTACCCTATTAAGTCCTTGGAAGGAGATAGTACTATCTTTCTTTTCTAGATGAGGAATTGGAGGCCCTAAGGATTAAGTGACTTGACAAAATTGCAAAGAGAGTTACTGAGCGGCAGGACTAGAATACTGGTGTCTCTCCAGCTGTAAGTCCTGGCAGGCTCCTTCCATGCTGGGCAGTTGTACAGTGGGAGACATGGGTTCCCAGTCACTTGTAAGCTGTGTGACCTTGGGCAGGACCTCTCTTGGCCTTGCTTTCTCATCTGTAAACAGAGATGTTGAGAATACCCACAGCACGGGCTTGTTGTGAAGCTTAGTTGAGACAGTATCTGTGAAAGGCAAGCGTAAGGTGCTGTCTGTGCAGCAGTGCTTGGCTGACACTAATTGAGGGGAAGGTTCTTCATTGATAGTTTCTTCTCCTGCGAAAGAGATCATTTCCTGTGAGTGGCTCTGAAAGTCTGGAGTGCGGCACCAGATGTCTTTCTGAACGATGGTGAGGAGGACTGAGGCAACGGGTTGGAGCTCACGGCTTTCCCTCTTTCAGGGAAGAACTTTCTGTGTGACCCTGGGTGAGTCACTGGATGTTCCTGGGCCCCAGTTGCCTCCTCCATGGTGTTAAAGGACCAGCTGAGATGTTGAGCTTCTTATAAACCATAGAACACAATCCAGGTAGTTGGTCTGATCAGGACCTGGCCATGGGCAGGAGCTGCGCCCCCTTCTGGCAGGAAGTGTCCAGAGGGACAGCGAGGTCCAGAACAGAGTCCTAGGTGTAGTGGAGGGAGGGTTAAGTATGGTATCCCTGGGCGGTGCCTGTGGCTCAAAAGAGTAGGGCGCTGGCCCTATGTGCCCGAGGTGGTGGGTTCAAACCCAGCCCCGGCCAAAAACTGCAGACACACACACACACACACACACACACACACACACACTGATATCCCTTCACCATCTCTACTAGAGGTAGAGTGGGGAGGAATTGGAAGTGGAGGGTAGCAGTAAGCAAAGTGCCAGGTGGGGCATTAGTGTCTCGTCCTTAGCAAGGCAGGTCTGCAAAAACAACAGGCAATGCCCTCCTCATTGGCTTCAGACTTCCTCTCCACTGCCATGCCTCACCTGGTAACTCTATGGAGGCTCTGCCCTCTATTCCCTGGGTTGTATTAAATAGATGGATGGTTGGCTGGATGGATGGATAGATAGATGCTTTACTATTTTTTTTTTTTTTTGCAGTTTTTGGCTGGGGCTGGGTTTGAACCCGCCACCTCTGGCATATGGGGCCGGCACGCTACTCCTTTGAGCCGCAGGTGTACCCCTCCCCATGTTTTACTATGGAGAGCTTTTCCTCTCAAAGCCTGGCAGGCCTCGGTGTTCCCTCTGCCTGTTGGAATCCTGATCATCTGTCAAGGCTTAGCTCAAACGCCACCTCTTCATAAAGCCACTCCTGATTTGCCCTTTGCCCTTCCACCCTTGTCAATTCCATTTTCTGCATTCTCACAGCATATCATCTGTACTTCTGTTATAACCCTCGTTTTATTTTTCTTCAGATCATAGATGCAAATCTTGTCTGTCCATTTTACCTGGACTGTAACCTTCCTGAGGTCAGAAACTGTGTCTTCCTCATTTTTTTTTTTTTTTGTCCAGTGTTTGGTACAGAGCTTGGTATATAGTAGATATCAATAAGCATTTGTTAAATGGAATTAATAATAAAATGTTACTTTTTAAATGCACTCTATATGCCAAGTACTGTGTCATATACTTCACATATATTATCTCATTGAATCTTTATAACAACCCTATGAGATAGGTACTATCATCCTCATTTTACAGATGAGGGACCTGGAGCTCAGAGAGGTTAAGCAACTTGCCTGAGGTCACACAGCTGGTAAGTGTGGAGCCAGAATTTGAACCCAGATCCACCTGACTCCAAAGCGGTGCTCTAATTGCATATGCTGCCTCCCAATGAATGCATAAAAGGTGAGATTTTACTGGGCCATGTTAGGGGCTGGAGAGACAAGCCTGTTGGGAAGAGAGAGGACAAAGAAGGCTTTTTCAGAATGAGGCAAAGGTTCAATAACACATACTCATTAAACACTACTGAGCATCTACTACCTGCCAGATAGTCTGCTGAGATTACAAAGATGAGTAAGACACAGACCCTGCCCCCAAAGGAGCTCTCTGTCTATGGGGCTGGGTGGGGGAGGGTGACAGGCACATCAAGTAACAAACACGCTGGCATATGAGAAGTGCTGTGGGAACACAGGAGACAGTCAGCCAGCGCCTGATTAGTGGCTTTCCTGGAGGGAGCAACAGTGACTGCCTTGATTACAGAAGAAGACCAGGGTCTCCTATAACTTTGATCCCTTCTCTACACCCATCCATGAGATGTGTGAGCTTCCCCACAGCCTTCAGATGAGGGTTGTCACCTCTGGTACTTTTTTATTAGTGGTTGTTTCTAAGGGGACAGGATGAGAGGGATGGGTTATTTCTGGAGCTCCTCCATCCTAACCAGTCACACAGAGTAAGGGCTGTCTGTTTCACTGACAGCCATGGCTTCCCCTAAGACTTTTGGGGGGGCCTCTTTCACTGTGGTCCTGACCACACATCCTTTCTTTACCTCACTGCAGGTTATAAGACCCTTCTCAAGTGCCTATCAGGTAAATTCTGCCGCCGGGAGCTGATTGGCATCATGGGCCCCTCGGGGGCTGGCAAGTCCACATTCATGAACATCTTGGCAGGATACAGGTGAGGATGAGACTTGGGTGGAAGGCAGAGGGGGCCCAGAAAGAAGGGTCCCTGGGGGAACGTGGAAGGTTTTCTGAAGTGGCTTTGACCCCCATCCCCGATCAATGTCCCCTATAGAGAGTCTGGAATGAAGGGGCAAATCCTGGTCAATGGGCGGCCACGGGAGCTGAGGACCTTCCGAAAGATGTCCTGCTACATCATGCAGGATGACATGCTGCTGCCACACCTTACAGTGTTGGAGGCCATGATGGTGAGGGCTAGATGGCCATCCCCTCCTCTCAGCACCCCCCTGCTGTCTGCTGTCCCCACCCTCTTCATTGCCGGGAGTCAGGGTAGTGCCCATCTCACATATACCTTTCTCACCTACTCTCTGGCCCCCAGGTCTCTGCTAACCTGAAGCTGAGTGAGAAGCAAGAGGTGAAGAAGGAGCTGGTGAGTGGGGAAGGGGAAGCAATGGGACAGTTACCCTGGTGGGGCTATTGAGTTCTAGGGCCCTGAGTTGGAGGTGGGAGAGTGGTGGCTTTTTCAAGTTGAGGTGGTGCCTGGGGGAAGCAGAGACTCTAAAGCTGACCTAAGGTGTGTGGGTGCGGGTCCAGGTGACAGAGATCCTGACAGCACTCGGCCTGATGTCCTGCTCCCACACGAGGACAGCCCTGCTCTCCGGTGGGCAGAGGAAGCGCCTGGCCATCGCCCTGGAGCTGGTCAACAACCCACCTGTCATGTTCTTTGATGAGCCCACCAGGTAGCTTCCTCCTTCCTCTCCCACAGGGAGACCCCTCTCTCCTTGCCCCAGAGCCAGTGGTGGAAGCGACATTTTCTTTGTGATTGGGAACCAGAACTGGGTGCAGCCTCCTGGGGCCAAGTAAAGGGCTTACTCCTCATCTGCATCCTTGCCAACCCCAGGCAGAGATCTGGATGTCCTCTTTGACTGATGCACCCTTTCCTATCCTCCATAGACATCAGCCACAAAGCCCTGTTGATTCTATCCCCTTATGATCACTCTTAGATTCTCCATGTCCCATCCCTAGTGCCAGTGGTTAAATTCAGGACATCATCAACAGACTCTGATCTCCTGTCCAGTGTCTCCCAGCCAATCCTTCCTTCCCATTGCAGCCAGAGTGAACTTTCTAAAAGATAGATCTGGCTATACTCATTCCCTCCCTCCCTGTTCCTTTCCTCCCCTCCCCTTCCCTTCCCTTCCCTCCTTCCTTCGACAGAGTCTCACTCTGTTGCCCTGTGTAGAGTGCTGTGGCATCATAGCTCACAGCAAACTCGAACTCTTAGCCTTGAGCAATCCTCTTGCCTCAGCCTCCCAAGTACCTGGGACTAAAAGTGCCCAACACAACGCTTGGCTAGTTTTACTGTATTTAGTAGAGACAGGATTCCGCTCTTGTTCAGCCTGGTCTCCAAATTCTGAGCTCAGGCAATCCACCTGCCGTGGTCTCCCAGAGTGTCAGGATTGCAGGTGTGAACCACTGTGCCTGGCTTTCATTCCCCTTCTTAAAAATATGCAATGATTCTCCTTTGTCCTCAGAATAAAGCCAGGTGACTAGCAAGGTCCTGGTATAAACCTACTTCTTCAACCTCATGTCTTGTATTTTATGCTCTAATAATACTGAGTGGCTTGTAATTCCCTGCTCAAGCCACGTGTTTCATGCCTCCAAGCTTTGCCCATGCTGTGTCTTCTGCTGGGGTGCCCTTCACTTCCATGTCTCCCCTTCCACATTCACCTGGCTTAGTTCCTCCTCCTTCCAGACTCACTCAGGAACCTTCTCGGACTACCCTCCAACACCCTGCTACAGTAGAGCTGAATCCTCTCCTTCTCACCCAGTGTTGCTACAGCACTTTCTACATCACTTAAAACTGCTATCTATCTCTCCCTCTATGTCTCTAAAACACAGACTCCAGACCAGAGTCTATGTTTTATTTATGCATCATTGTAATCTCAGTGCCTGACATACAATAGGCACTTAATATATGCTTGTTAGGCTAGGTGTGGGGGCTCATGCCTGTAGTCCCAGGGCTTAGGGAGGCCCTACCTCTAGGAAAACTAAGAAAAATTCGCCATGGTGCATGTCTGTAGTCCCACCTACTTAGGAGGCTGAAGTGGGAGGATCACTTGGGCCCAGGAGTTTGAGGTTACAAAGAGCTGTGATCTTGCCACTGTATACCAGCCTGGAAAACAGAGACCCTATCTCAAATAGATAAATAAATATGCTTGTTAAATTGAATAGTGCTCTGGGCTTCTGGCTACCGTCAAGTGCCTGAACCGTATAGGATATTGTGGGAGGGGAAATGGAATGTGGTGGTGGCCAGAGTGACCTCTTCCTGCCCCCTCCATCCCCTTCACAGCAGCTGCCCCACCCCAAACACTCCCTTCTCTTGGCTCTGCTCACCTCACTGGGCCCCCTCGTGGCCTCTCTCTGGACAGCGGTCTGGACAGCGCCTCCTGTTTCCAAGTGGTGTCCCTCATGAAGTCCCTGGCACAGGGGGGCCGTACCATCATCTGCACCATCCACCAGCCCAGTGCCAAACTCTTTGAGATGTTTGACAAAGTGAGTGTCTCCAGGCCTGGAAGAAGATT